TAAACAATGTTTCTAAACTCTAAAAGAGCACAGAATGTCATGATTTCAGCTCCCTGCCTCGTCTGCTCTCAGCCACCTGCAAGCGTTTTGGCCACACCCACTTCCCAGCTCTGCACGGAGAACAGTTGATCAGCTGCAGCAGGAAGTTTATCCTGCAGTATGGGCTGCACAAAGGTGCAGGAGGTGCTAAATAATTTAAAATAATTTATTTTAATTAAAAATTCTATGCCGATCGTGTGGCTCATACGTCAGTCAGCCAATTGTGTGTCGTGTCCACTCTTATTTTTGAAAAAAAAAAAAAAAGCAATGGAGCGAGTCTGTGATAAATGAACCGCAAAGTAGCGAGGGACTACCAGTTCTGGTCTAATCTGCATGGGACTCTAAGCACATGAGGCCTCTCATGCAGTTATATAAAACTTGGAACTCCACACAGCGAACTAAGGAAACCTTTTAAAGCGTCCTGAAAGTAATTGTTTTGACAAAACGTTGGGCGGGCCGGTGGATTTTCAGGGAAGCTAGCAGCTGCTTCACTTGTAAAACTGATGTGAATATGATTGAAAAAATGTGGTAGTGTGGTAAAATGTCACTTCCTTCTGGGTGTTGATATCTGTGTATTTTCCAGCTGAAAGTGAAAAGTCTGTATGCAGCCGGAGAAGACCTGAGCCAGGGGAGGAGAGGGAGACACTAGAGGTGAGAGAGCAGCAAGTTTTGGTTGTTCAGCAGAATTAAAAAATCAATAAAAGCTCATTTGGAAACCTGTTTGTATCACTAAGCAGCCTGATTGTACTCATTGTAAAGGTTAAATTATTACTGTACCAAATCCCAGCCAGCTAACCAAGGTCCAAGGAGGGTCTTATTCCGCACCCAGCCAGATGTGCTCTTCCTCACCCTGCAGGATGAGATGACGACCACCACTCCTTCCTCACCAGACACCGAAGAGGAAGACGAGGACGATTTGAACTATAGGCAAAGGTTTAATCAGAGACAAATACATCGCCTAAATAAGACAGAGCTTGGGTGAGAATTTGTTTCATTTAGAAAAATATACTGTTGTTTCTGAACACAACGCAGTAATTATTTTTCCGCTTTGTGTTTAAGGTGTCCAAACAGTCGTAGAACACGAGGAAGCGTTGAAGAGCCTCTGTCTTGTTGCAGAAAAAAGAACAAGCAGACAGAGGAGGAGCTGCATCACATCTCTGAGAAACTCGCCCACCGACTAGAAGAACTTGACCTGGTATGTGTTTAGTAACTCACAAAGATCCCTGTGTTCTCAGCACGAGTATTTAGGAGGGACATCTTCTCCAAAATTCACCCCTTTTTTTTATAAGACTGATGTTTCTTGATGGGTTAATGAAAACGGTTTTTAAATGCTTTGCCCAAAATACAAGATTGCATGATTAAAATCGCTTTTGTAGCCTTTTCTCTGAACTGGACGTCAAAAAGATTTTATTCATAGAAATTACCCTAACCCTCGAAGGGAGCCTCTTGTTTTTAGCCTGACAATAAACGAAATAACACTAAGCTCAAATGAGCTGGAGCAGTTTTCTTGTCTGCAGCTTTGTCCTTGTATGGTGGTCATTAAACAGAGTTTCATTATTAGTCATGTGACGAATCAGCCCAGGTTCTTGAAATATTGCTCCTTGGTTATAAATGAGGGGGCAACGTCACAACCAGCCACATCCTGTTTATAGAACAGTGGCTACATTATATTTCTTCTTAACATAAACCCTGAGCTTAGTTGTAGGTTCATTCTTCTTTAATGTACGTTTTTTTTTTTAACTAGATAGAAAAACATTGTTAAAATTTATAGGTTTTAGGGATGATGGAATACTACGCATAACTGGAATTTTCATCCTCTAAATTAAAAAAAGCATACTTTTCTAGACTTTCATAACTTTAGCCAATATTTTTCACATTAAGGCTTTTTGTTATTGTTGTGTAACAGTTGTGTTAAGTACCACTGTGTGTGATCTGTGTAGATGCTCAAACGAGTTCTGGGTGAAAGTGACGACTCCAGCGAGATCAGAGAAGAGGACGAGCATTCCCAACACAGCGACGGCATCACCGAGTGTAAAGGCGCTCCCGCTGTTCCAGAAACGCTGGATCCTGAATCCACCTGGCAGACGCACTCTTCATCCTCGTCTCCTCCTCGAGAACCTCCACGATTAGAAGATGGTGCAGCAGAGACTTTGATCCAGAATGATGGGAGACAAACTAACTTCAGAAAAACTTCCGATCATTCCAGACAAAGAAAATCTCAGAGACAACAGAAGGTATCCGCTTCCCTTTTGATTAATTATATTTGAGTTTTTTATTATATAGTTTGAATAAATTAAAATCATTATACTGATATAATTTAAATCATCCCAACGCACTGACTGGCTCTAATTGTGAGAATAAAAGGCCATAAAGCAGAAATAAGGATTAATGGTTTGTCAAGGCAAAAAAAGTGATTTTAAGTTTGACTTGTACCAACCTGGTAAAAACAGATGTATTTACACACATGAGTGACCAACTTCTGTCATGATAAAATATATTTATACTGAAATTAGTTTACACTGGGTAATTTATACTACTATAGTTTAATACTTTCTGTAATCCTAACAATTAAGAGTCAAATTATGATACAATTTGAAGTAGCTTTAAGCCTATAATTTTCTATTTTATTCTATCCAATATTTAAAAACAAAGTACATGTTTTCTTTAAGTGAAATAATTGTGTGTTCGCTTGAGTTATAGTTATATTATTACCCCTCACTACTACAAGTAACGAAAACCACGAGAATCTAAATAAAAACCATATAACGTAATCTGCTGCTGGTTTTTTACGTTATTTGTTTTGAACAGTGAATAACTTTTTTTTCCTCCAGTATATTGAGAGTATGGACTATGAAGAGGAGTTGAGAAAATATGAAGAGCGAGAGCGGACAGAACTGGACAAGGCACGCCTCAAAGCTCAGAAAGCTGTAAGTCCTAAATATGCTGTATACTGCCGTACGAGTATAAATTAAAGAAAATAATACATTTGGCTTTCAATTCTATATACGTTTAAAAAAAGGATGTCTACTTGGTTATGCAAGCAGATTTATTTATTTATTTTTGACTTATGAAACATTTGTAAACAGAACAGATGGAAGATTTAAAGAAAATAGTACTGGAAATCATTTTGATCAGTCTAATCCCGTTAAATAAACTACACAAACATCATAAGAGAACAATGGCTTTTCCTCAAAACTAATCTGTAAGTGATACAAACATTTTATTTGTTACCGTGTTATTTTTGGGTATAAACAGTTGTCAGACGTTTACATCCACTCATCAGAGACATGAATGTAATTAAATGTTGATTCAATTTAGACCAAACTGAAAATTGGAAAAGAAACAACAATAAATGTAAACTTGTGCAAACAATCCAAGTTTTTAAAACTCTTTAAAGTTGTGTGTTTAATTATTCCAACATAGAAAAAGAACGACTTTGGGGGAGGGGGGGGGGGGGGGGCAGAAATATAGCATTTATGTCTGATGAGTGAATGTAAACTTTTGACCCCAACTGTATTGGCATGACTTTAAACAGATATTGTCAAAAAGAAATCATCCTGTTTGTAGGTCGTTTTTTTTAATATATATCTCTATATATAACTATAGAGATGTTCTAAATAAAGCGTATATTTTCGTATTTAAAGGAGCGAGAGTACAGAGAGGCCATACTGGGAGATGTTTCTCAGGTGTCCAGACCGTCCCCATCCAAAACAAAGAGTCTGCATAAGACGCAACGTAACAGAACCGGACAGAAACGTCCAGAACCCACCAGGAAAACTTCATCTCGTACGTCAAATCTTTGTGATTTCAAATCCTCCTGTTCTGTACACAGTTCTTACAAATCAGTCCTTCACTACTAAACCTGCTGAAATGTTTAACGCTACAGATGTCGTCTGTCACTGAGCTCAAACTAATGGTTTTTAAATAAAATTTAACTTGTTTTGTCACATACTGTAGAAGGTGTTATTTTTTTTATCATTGGTCCTCCCTCCAGTGAAAATAAAAGAAAATGAGCTCCTCCCTGTGCTACGGGACGAGTTGCCTCATCTTCACATTTCTCCTCGTGCTCTGGGTCGGATGTGGGAGCAGCAAACGCAGCAGATAGACGGACTCCACGCCCTGTCGTCCTCACACAGTCGACATCGGAGCAAACTCTCCGGCCAGGTGAGAAAAGTAACCGGATGCTGTAAAATGTAGCCACTGTCGATTTAAAGAAGACACATTTAGTCCTTTTTTTAAGGTTACGTGATTTCTGGGCATCTTAATAAAACCTGGATGAAATATAGAACGTCACTTCTTCTTCCATCCTTATTTTTTTTTTCTTTATAAAATTCCTCTTTATACCACTTTGTCTTTCAGTTAGAGGAAGCTCAGAGGAAATATGACCTCCTGGTGGAGCTCAACCGCAAAGACCAAGATCACAAAAGACATCTGGTGAGTGACACAACAGACTATTCCACACATGATTAAAAAAACACTTATTCCAGAATCATTGGGGGGGGGGGGAGACTTTACACACCAATATCTTTCACAGTTTGCATGTAGAGCTTCTCATTTACAATATTAATGCTGAACTGCTTTTTTTTTTTTTTTTTTTTTTTTTTTTTTTTTTAATCTCTCTTTCCAGAGAGAGTTTAAAGATCGAATCCAGCAGCAAAAGTCTGTGCAGAACAAACTGAGGGAACAGAGGCAACAGATCGCCCGGGCCAAAAAGTATCACAATGACTATCACGTTCAGCATCGTGCCCGACTGATGAAGGCTCGCACTAAAGAGGAGCGGGTGGGTATTTAAGCTGTTTGTGTTGAAGGATTTGGAATAAAATTTTAAACCAACAAATTTACCTAGAGGGCTGAATATTAAATAAATAAATAATTTGGGGATGAATTAAAGAAAGAAATCCATCTTTCCCCCCCATCTTTGTGTTCAAACTAATAGATTATTTTTTTTATTTTTATTAAACATGCTTTGGATTAGTTGACACTTTTGACAGTTTTCTAAAAATGGACCCCAAAGGTGATATGTAAAGATTAAAAAACAGTGGACTTAAGATAGATCCTTGAGGGACCCCATAGAGTAGTGGAGTCGTTTTCATATTTTTCACAAGCATGCAAACTACATCAGAGTGGATGAAGGACTGGTGTATGATTTTTCAAATGTAAATGTTTTTTTAATATGCTTTGAATGACAGACATGTTATTTTCCCACGTAGTAAACATTAGGCTCATTCAAAAGACAGGTCTACAAATTGGACACGCAGACCAGTCCTTCCTCTACCGGTTCATAACGGGTGAAGCGGCCACATAGATGTGAGCTTTCAGAAATGAAGCGAGTCGAGTGGTCCCAAAAGAGGCGTGCAGCAGAACTCAGCTGGGTTAAAGTGGAGCATGATGTGCGTTTTGGAAATCTCCCTCATGTCATTTACTAACATGAATGAGTTAACTCACTTTAGCGATCCTGTTTGTGGTTGTCTATTTTTTTTTAACTAACTACAAAGTTGCTGTGCATCACCAATATTCCCTCGTTAATAAATTGTTGTTTACACTCACGAGCCGGTGGTCGTAACTAATGTAATCAGTTCATTACATTACTGAGCTGCAGCTCAGTAATTTTTTTGTTTTTCTTCACACGTCTGCCAGCCTGACCGTTACTGCCTCACTTGGAGGCACAGCAAAACGAGCATTCTGTATGTTTGAAAATTATGAAGTCTGTGAACGACCCCTTACTGTATTTGCATTTAAATATTGATGCATTTGCGAAGGCGCCCGGATGACCCAGCTGTATGTTGTTTATATACGTTTGCAGATGTTTCGGCAGCTTTTTGAGGAAGGTTTGGAGTTCCAGAAGCTTCGGCTGAGAGAGCAGAGAGCTTATGCCCGGGAGCAGAGACTGGAGCGTGAGAGGCGACACCAGGACCAGATCGAGTCTTTGGAAAACTACTATAAAGATCAAGTAAGACACAATGCAGTCACCTACGTTTGTGTGGTCTAAATGTAACGGGTTATTTTTACACGGTGAATGAAACACTTTTGCCATTTCAGTTTTCACTGCTTGCTGAAAAACTTGCACAAGAGCGAGAAGACATCCAGGTTCGGAAAAAGGCCCAAGAAAAGGTAACCGTCTTACTTAAAATAAGAACTTGTTTAAAAATAATTAAGAATGATGTTTGTAATTCATCAGGACGGGATCAAAATGTTCCAAGTATTTTGTATTCCAGTCATGCAGTGTGCTCTTAATATTCAATGCAAACTCAACCCTCCAAAAATTACACGAAATTGTACCAACAATAAAGAAGCTGTTTTCTACGTTTCTTCAAAGCCACCATATTTGATCAAAATAGCAAGTTTTATGAGTTTGAGCCAAAAGGTGCAGTGCTGGTGTATTTTTTTTTTCTACGTAAATTTACCAGTAGTTGGTCTGAAAGAAGCCATGTGGAAACTTTATGCAAATGCTCTACAACGTGAAAACTGAATTGTCACTCCGTTAACATAAGAATTATTCATAATCTTCTCTTTAGGAAAAGTGTTTGACTAGTTGCCATAATTATTATTGGTCTTTTCCCTTTGACAGGCTCTGCTGAAGATGAAGCGAGAGCTGCGATCCCGGATGGAGCGCGAGATCAACGAACTGCAGAAAATAATCATTCAGAACGACGAAGACGACCATTTCCAGGATCTCGAGGTCCAGAGGCTGCGCAATCAGATCCACGTGGCTTCTTTCCAGTACAACACCAGCTGTCTGCACTGACAGGGAACTCTAGATGAGTTTTAATGGATTTCTGCTTTTCACAACAAACGGTACGAGAATCTGGTGCACAAACGGTCGTCTCTTCGGGCGTCTTTCTCAAGAGATTTGCACAAACATTGTGAGAAAGTTTTGAATAATAAACACGCACTGACAAAAATAGCTTTTAGCTATTTCAGCTTATTCTTCCTCTCACCTTAGCTGCTACCCCCGAACTTAAAGACACTTTGGACCAAGTCCCTTTCCTCCTTGGGTTTTTAAGAACTTCATGAATCTGAATGTTCTCAGCAGTTATCGTGCTTTTATTGTAGAATAGGAAATTGTTCCTTTTACCAAATAAGGACCACACCTGTAGAGTTAAGACGATTGTCACACTGACAAGTCTTAACTTTATTTCTTTTTACAGATGTCTGTCTTTTTTTAATACTTTAACCATGCAAATTATTTATTTAACTTTAATGTTTAGATTTTTAAACTGTTGTGATTTTTAATCACCAGAGGTGATAACCCATCTGTCACCAGAACCTTCTCCTTGATTGGTTTCTACTTCTAATCAAACCTAAGACGTGATCCTTTTTAGAGATATTGATGGTTCCGCCATTTAAACACTATCAACACTGTGTTGTAACTAAGGAGCAAACATGCCCCCCAATAAATGTGTGGAATCACTTTGGCTGAAATGTGTTTATTTGTGTGCAATACGAGTTACTGTTATATTTTAATGAAAGCAACACGTAAAATACAAATAAGGCCGTCAGTGCAAGCGTTAAAAATATTAAAACTGAAAGCATCAGCTTTGAATCCCTTTTTTATGAAGAATCAAAGTCATGTTAGGACAAGTAGTTAAAATATCACAAGTTCAATTGCTTCTTAAGAATGTGATTGCAACATTTCAGAGAATAAAGAGGCTTACCTGGACGATGTGATCCAACTGATGGTCACTCCTTTGTATCAGTTCAGACCAAATCTAAGTTTGGTCTCTGCTTCAATCTATTTGGCTGAAAATCACCTCCACTACAACTTTCGAGTCTTGACGAGTTGAATAAATCTAAAAATAAAATTAAATACTTTAAATGTGCCAAAGTAATAGAGCTGGTCCACGGTAAAATGGATGTCGGACCGCAATTATTATTTTTTTAGTCCTATTTCAATGTAACGAGTACAAAAGGTAAAATATAAACATGTTGACCACCACGTTCAGTGATTTAATCAACACTTGGTAGAAAAGCAGCAGCAGTTTGTGATTCTGAAGTCGAGTCCAAACTATCAGCTCGGCGACGTCGCCGTGTTCTGTCCATTGACCTGGAGATCGCTGCCGTCGTCGTCTGGCAGGTTGGTCCACTCAAAGCGGTTCGGACAGAAACTGCACGCCTGCTTAACCACAATCTTCAGTCCGTTCACGTGTTTCCTGACTGTACATTGACGGTTACATTTCTGGCACGACTTGAAGAGCTCGAGGATGCACTGTTCGTCCACGACAAACTCCGACGGGCTGAGGGAGACAAGATGCAGCAGGTAGGGAACCAGTAAAGTCATTGGGACTTGAGGTGTTCAAAATAAATGTAACTAAAAGCTTCTGTCTGGATCAGTTTACTGATGCGGGCGTACCTTCTCAAATCCACCTTGTAACGTCCATCACCCACACTTAGGGATGTGATGAATTCTTCATCCTTGTCCATTTGATCTGTGTACAAACTCATTTTAATCATTTACTTTCATGCAGAAAATTGGTCTCTTTGTAAGAGATGATTTAAAAACAACTCGCCTTTATCTTCTGACAGTTCTGTGGCCGTCACCTCATCTGAACTCATCAAGCTTTGGCGTATAGCATCTTTGTTTTCCAGCTCCTTAAAATGGAACGCCATCAGCCCGTCAGCAGAAAGTTTAGTTTAAAAAAATAAATGGCAATATCATTAGCTTCCAACATCCAAAATGGAAATGTTAAATTTGAGTTTAATGAGGTTAAACTAGCTTAATTGTTAGTTATCAGGTACAGATAGTCTATGTTCACTTAATCTGCTTTATTCTCTTTTCAACCAACTGATTTCTAATTGAACATATCAGAAAACTAATTGATTTCAAAGTTTAGACAGATTTTATTTTGATTCAACTTGTTAAAAAAACAAGTGCTGCAATTAGTTTTAAACTTCAAAAACAAAATGTATGTTGAGTTATGAGTTTTTACTTTAAAAAAAATCAGATTTACCTCTTCAGGTATAGAAGACTGAGCAGAAGGAACAGAAGTCTCCCGTTCTCCAACGAATGAACTCATGAACTCATCAGAGTGAACGCTCTCACTAGACACAAAAAAGGGGCAATGATTTTAATAAAATGGGATTTAATTTTATAATTATAAAACATTCTATAATCATAGTGAGCCGAGTGAAAATAAGAAAAAACACTTCATGAAACATTTATTGAGTTCCTCTTACCAAGATTCAGTTGAAGAGTACACTTCAAGTCTGGGCTGATTTTGTTGGGTTTTTTCTAACTCGGTCTGAAAAAAACTACAATATAAGAAATATATAATTCAACAGTTTAGAAACTAGATTCATGTCATAATCAGTGACCTAAAAGCAAGTTTGTCTCATACAATATGGTAGTCATTGAACAGTTTATTTTGTAATGGCCACAAATTGTTTTATTTGTTTTATCTTACTTTACATCATTCATTCAACCTTTATTTATGCAGGTTAGTCTCATTGAGCCATGAGGACTCATTTAAAAGAGAAACCTGTTTTAAACAAAGAACACAGAGGAGGAACAGACATCAGTAAACAATCATGTAAAATGAAAAGTAAATAGAAAAAATGATATAAAAACTAAACAAAAACTACATTCTAAAGCATGAAGTTAAAGTATATTACTCCTTGTACTAGTTCTAGTAATGGCATATTTGCAAAAGAAATTACCAAAAAACTGAAAAGAAACAAAAAAACCTGCTAAAACCAGTTTTATTTTTATAACAAATACAATTCAGTTTTTGCCAAAGCTTGAAAAAGCCACTGCAGAGGGACCAAAGAGCTGCATGTGACCCCTGAGCCATCGCCAAGCGATGACTTGTGAGTAATGGTGCTGTAGGCGCAGCGGGTGAGAGTATGGTTGAATAAATGTCTCTTCCAAAACTGGATGAAGACACGAGGGGATTAACGGCACGGCGTAGAGATTTAGTATCTTTGGCATCCAGTGGACATTCCATTTCTGGCACAATAACATCTGTGTTGGCATGATGGGATGGTCCCAAGCTCTCCAATCAATATCCTCAATTTGGATTCCTGGCACATTTTCCTCAGACATCTCCGGCTCTCTGATGGGATGTTGCAGCATCCCAAGTTCCCACAGCTGGTTTGGAGAAAGGCTACACTCTGTCCTGATGGGATGGTCATTCCAGCCAGAAGAAAACTCGTCCAAATCAGCCTTGAGCCATGTGACCATTGTGTGACCTAAATTCTGAAATACATGCCTGGCAACAAAAACCCAGAGACTTTGGTAAAGTTTGTCTGCTTCTAAGATAAATCAAAACAAAATCTGCATTTTTTTCATATTGATGTTTAATATGACCCTAAATAAATTTAAAAAGTAAATATATTTTAAGAATGACAGTTTACAACCATACACGTTTATTTACATACAAAAACAGCCGAAATGGCTAAAAGTGGGTCAATAATACCAATGACTAGAAAGGACAGAGAAATCAGATGATTTTGATGTATTATTTGTATTTTTTTATGCTCAGATATGTTGAATAAAGTATTCTTATGTTTGTTAATACTACCTTATATGAAATAACTTGAAAATGTGGATATTTCACCTGCTTTTGGAAAATATAACTGATAAAGAGTAATTTGCTTGGGCGCATTATGAAATGCTGCTCTTCAAATATTTCAGTAATGAAATTCTCTATGATCTTATCACCGTTTCTGCACATTTACCTTTTATCATTACGCCAAGGATGTTCATCACCATTTTCTGAATTCGCTCGTGACTGAAAATAAATTTAATTTGCCAGCTTAAAAGCATTTTATGGACGGGAAATAATTAAGAAGTAGTCATTGCGAAGTTGATGCTTGTTTGTTGAACTACAGAAACAAGTGAATTTAAATAAAAGGTGATGTTCATGGAAGATCAATATGAGAACAAGAATAATTGTGAATAGTTTTGCTTATTTGTTGAGTGAATGCCAATATGATCCTAAAACTATCTATAATAAAACACTTACCGAAAGTAATTTGAGTTTTAAACACCTGGTATTTTAGACTGGATTCAAGTTAAGACGGTAAACTTACTGATCCAGCAGAAGTTTTGCAAAAGCTGCGTTTGTTTCGATGCCAAGCTCCGTCTTCACGTCTCTCCACCGCTCGGCCTGATTCCCAATATTTATTCTTGACATCTGTCTTGCTCGATCTTTCTCTTTCCTGGCGCGTTTAGCAGCAGATTCCGTCTTATATTTCCACCTAAATGTTCTCTCCGACATTCTAACATTGTCCGCTTCCGCCATGTTTGTTTACCTTCACAGCCCGAGCAATGTAGGTCAGTCACGTGACTCCGTTTTCATGGAGCGTGGACCCGCATTTCAGAGACAACCGCAGTGAACGCCGTCAAACTGCACAACTTTAGGATTTTTTTTTTCACGTTTTATTTCATACTTTGCAATGAATATATTTAAGCTTCGACTTAGAAACAATTCGAGTTGGGTAAATGTTAAAACGGCACTGCAGTACTGTCAACTTACCGGTCCAGCAAAAGTTTCGCAAAAGCGGCGTGCGTTTGGATGCCGAGCTCCGATTTGATGGCGCACCAGCGGCCCGCTTGATCCCCGATATTTATTCTCGACAGCTGCCTTAATCGTTCTTTCTCCTTTCTTGCGCGTTTAGCGTCAGATTCGCTCTTGTATTTCCACCTGAACGTCCTCTCCTCGACTTCCCGCTTGGGCGAGTCCGCCATGTTTGTTTACTTAAAAAGGCCAGGCACGTAGGTCAGTCACGTGACTCCGGCTTCGACGTGCGCGTTCAGCTCTTCGAGGAGTATCAAAGTACAAACATATTTTCATTTATGCCTATGATTCAGACGAGTAAATTCAAATTTAAATAAAATTATGGCTATTTAAATAACCATAATTTTATTCTTTACTCACGTACAAAAATAATGAATAAATAAATGTTCAAAGCGCCTGAATGACAGCCCGATATCAGAGAGAAATGTGTCAAGATATTAAACAAAAGCTGCACGCTCAGTCGGCTGGACAACCAGGATCATAAAGCTCATTTCAAGCAGCTCTTTATACTTTTTGACCACAAGATGTCGCCAAAGAGCACAAGGTTGAAAAGTTTCGAAGCTCCAGCGCTTCAGAGGTTTCATGTGTCCATCACTACAGGAAACCTCAGCAGTCTCTCTCCAATATTTGTCTCCTAGCAGGAAAACATCATATTAGCAGGCATGAACTCTGAAACCACAAATCCCACTAGGAGCAGCAGTCGTAAAAGTGCCGTAAAATGTTGTATTTATGTATTTAACCCTTAAAGGGGCATTACAAACAAAACTAAAAGTAGTATGACAGTACT